ACGCGCAGCAATCTCAGACGGTGAACCGGAGGTCCGACGACGGCTACAACTGGAGAAAATACGGCCAAAAACAGGTCAAAGGAAGCGAAAATCCGAGAAGCTACTACAAATGCACGTTCCCGAATTGCCCAACAAAGAAGAAAGTGGAAAGATCGTTAGATGGACAGATCACTGAAATTGTTTACAAAGGCAGCCACAACCATCCGAAGCCTCAATCCACGAGGAGATCATCGCTGTCGTCGGGCGGTGGTTCCTCCCACTCAATGACGGCTTCAAATCCCGCCGCCAACGACATCGCCGACCAGTCATATGCAACCCAAGGCAGCGGGCAGTTCGACGGCGTCGCGACGCCGGAGAATTCCTCGATCTCGATCGGGGACGACGACTTCGATCGGAGCTCCCAGAAGAGCAAATCCGGAGGGGGGGACGATTTCGACGAGGACGAGCCGGAGGCAAAGAGATGGTGAGTGGGTCGAAATCCAAAATGCTCTGTTTTTGCCAAAATTGACTACCCTGTTTATCTGTTTTTTGAGCTCAAGGATTTGGTAATTGAATTTCAGGAGGAGGGAAGGAGACAACAACGAAGGGATTTCGGCAGCGGGTAGCCGGACGGTGAGAGAGCCGAGAGTCGTCGTCCAAACCACGAGCGACATCGACATTCTCGATGACGGTTACCGGTGGAGAAAGTACGGCCAGAAAGTGGTGAAGGGAAACCCAAATCCGAGGTGAAAATACTCTCATTTCACTTCCTCTGCATATGCAAATTACCAATTCAGTAACATCTAAATTTCTTGTTAAATATTCTATCCCTTTTAATATGGTATCAAACAAATCCTCTAATGTCATTTCTTCCCTTTGATCTTGATGAGGTAACTAATAAGTCTTTAAACCAATAGTTTAACTTTCCAAATTTTAATTTTGTGGTGAATGGATGTCTAAATTTAATAAAGATCTCATAAATTAGAGATTTTTAGAGCTATAATGAAATGATCTTTAAGTTTGAAAAAACATTTTGAACTTTTGCAAACAAGAAATTGTCAACATTTATTGAGTCAAAATCAATTCTTTGGCTGTCTATGTATATTATAAACCTATGTAATCTCTTTTATCTTTCGAGATCGTATTCTTTTCCTCATCGACCTTAATCGTATTCCATTTTTAGATTAGATGTTCGTTTAAATTTTTTGGACTGTAATATCATATCAGTATTCATGAATTTTAAAATCAATTGACAATGAATAGAGTAGTTCATATCTATTATAAATCTAAATTTGGTAGAAAATTGGCAGGAGTTACTACAAATGCACCAACCCAGGATGCCCGGTGAGAAAGCATGTGGAGCGAGCATCGCATGATCTGAGGGCAGTGATCACCACCTACGAAGGCAAGCACAACCACGATGTCCCACCGGCGCGTGGCAGCGGAAGCCATTCCCTCAGCCGTCCATTCCTCAACAACGACCATCCCGCAGCCGCAATCAGGCCATCCGCGGTGGCCCATCAGCCAAACAACGGCGGAAACAGCCTTGTGCACGGTCTCCAGACGCCATTTACGCTAGAAATGGTGCAGAATCCCAACGGATTCTCATTCCCGGAATTTGGAAACTCCATGGGAATGGGAATGGGATCTTACACGAACCAAACACAGCCGAATGACAATTTGTTCGCCAGAGCCAAAGAAGAACCAAGGGAACATGACATGTTCATCCAATCTCTGCTATGTTGAGAGAGAGTTTTTTCCTTCTTTTGGGGTTTTTTCAATTCAGGTAAAACTTGCAATCCACAAAAGAAAAAGGGCTATAAGATCAGGACAGGAAAAGGAAATCAAATAAGGTTCATTCAATTCTTTTTTTTTTTTTTTGTATATTTTTTCACAGGGGTTGGCTGGGGTTTTTCTTTCTTCTGTTTGTATTGGTATCCAATAACATACCTGTATGTTATAGACTATAGTCAAGTCATATATTATACCTTCATTATAATTATAATAATTATTATTTTTTTGAGTGAGAAATGAATGATATAAAATTCCAAAATTTTCACGACTTGACCGGGGAATGAAATTAGATAAATATCATTATGAGCTGGAATGCGTGGGACCCACGCGAGAGAGGTGAGGTCATTGGTGACGTCAGCAAAGCAGAGAAGTTTGAACAAATCAAAGAAGGCGGTGGATTAGTTGGCGGAGAAGTTGATTGGAAAAAGTCAACTTTGGTGCCCGTCCGGGGGCGGTATCCGGTGTGGGAGAAATGACTATTTTGGGGCACGTTCACACGGGAGGGTAGTTTTGTAACAATAAAAATAGGAAGGTACGTGAAAGGCACGGTGTTTGTAAAATGGTGTCGAAAGACGATTGGTTGCTGCCCACCCACCGACTTGTCGTAACCAGATTTGGCATTCATTGTGTGGGCCCATTTTCATCCCTTCCTTCACATGGGATCCAAACATTTACCCGAATAATAACTATAATTAATAGCTCTAAATATTTTTTTATTAAAAAATTATCCTAAATGGTAGATGGTATACAATAAATATATATTTTCAAAAATATCATCGTTTTTTGTTTTCTTTGTCTAAAAATGTCACAAACATGACTTTTGATTGGTCTTATGTGATTGTATAAGTTTTCAGTATATGTCATTTTTGTAAAATTTTGAATAGAATATTATCTAGTGCTATTTTTATAATTCTGTCTTTTCTATTTACAATAGGCTTTTCCTCAATTTTGGCACAAAAAAAAAAGAAGAAAAAGAAACAAAAATAAGAACAACTTAAATTAAGACCACAACACAATATATATGGAAATGGGCCATCTCTCCTGTCTAGGTTTGGTGGGCTTGGCCCTATCATTCGAGAGTCCAAAGGACACGTCATTGTTTGTTGGAGATTTCACAAGCATTAGCCCAGCTATGAGAAAGGGCTAGAAACAGCATATGAGGGATTGAAGAGTGATTTATATTTCCACAATAATATTATATATTTCAGCTTTCATTTCATTTTGTCACTAAATTTTACCAAATAATTACCTAAAAAATCCTTCATAGCAACTTAATAAAGGCAAAAGAATGACCATATGGAATAAGTCCACCAAAACTCATCAAATTCAACGTTGAATTATACGTTTTGGCCAATCACAGTATCACTATTCTGAGTTGATAATAAAATGATCTATCATTAGATTTTGTGTCTAAATTAAATTGAAAAGACGTAGAATTGACAAATCAAATAATGCCACATGTATTTTTTTTACTGTCGTTCGATGACATAATCTAATCGATTAGCTCGTGCAACGATTGGGCTTAAACCCATGTAAGCTTATATCCAAGTACAAAGAAATTGGGCCTAATTACATATAACACAAGTCCACTGTGACCGGAAATTGAGATTTATGACCCTCAAATAATTCATTTTGGATTTATGACTCCTCTTGAAAAAAACTAGTTTTTGACCCATTTATTATTCTTTTCCACTTTTTATCTTGGTAAATTTACCAAAATATCCCTGTTTTTTAAAATTAAAATTATCCACTAATCTCTTCTCTTAACCCTTACAATTTCTTTTTAATTTGAATCTAATATGGAAAAAAATCAACATTTTAATTTATGAATCAATTACGAATGGAGAATTAACAACCGAATTCACAAAAAAAAAAAAAAATCCTCCAATAAATAAATTAGGGTAAAAAAAAGATTTGCATGATCGAAGAATACATGCATAAGATTTGTGTGGATTTAATTACAAAAAAAAATGTCAAGATTTCATAAATCTCGGGCCAATATTGCATAATTGATAACAAATAGGATGGGGAGAAGACCAAAAAAAAAACAACTGATGTGCGAATCCCGGTCTGGGATAGCACAATCCCAGACCAAGATTGAACAAACCTGGACCAGGATTGCACATCTTCTAACCCGGTCCAAGTTTAAGAAATCCCGGTCCGAGATTTTGCTATCCTGGACCCGGGATCCGCACATCAGTTTAGTTTTTTTTTTCCGCTTTCGCTCTCCTATTGGTTCTCTTATTGTCAATTAAATCAATTTTTTTCTTCTCTCTCCTATTGGCTCTCTTATTGTCAATTAAATTTCGGACATATAATACATTGACCTGATATTTATGAAATATTGATTTGTTTTGTAATTAAATTTGAACAAATTTGATGTAATTATGTACATTAGATTTTCCATATTAAACAATTAAATATCTAACATTCCATTTTGTAATTTCAATTTTTTTATCAATTTTTTCCATATTAAAATTTTAACTAATTATTTGAGTTAGATTGTTTTCCATTCGTAATTGATTTTTCAAGTTTAAAAGATAGATTTTTTAAGTTTGTAATGAATTATTGTGAGAGATTTGTGAGAGGAATAAAAGATTGAAGAGAATTTTTTTTTTTTTTTAATGAAGAAGAGATTGTTGATTTTGAGACATGAGGGTACTACAATAATTTCACATTAAAAAAATTATGAAAGGGGTAAAAGAAAAAAAAGGAGAGTGAGGTAACAAGCTAGTTTTTTTTTTTCAAAAGATGTTTATAAATCCAAAATGAATTATTGAAGCGGTCATAAATCTCAATTTCACCACTGTGACCCCATTTACTTACCAAGGGATGATAAGTAATTAGAATGAAAACCAATAAGAATGAACTGAATCTGTATAAGAACATATTTCTTTTTTTTTTTTACGTTGTTTACTAAATTATTTTTATAGAATCAAAATTAGAATTAGAAATTTATGTTGTTTACCAAAACGGTAGAATTGGAATAGAAACCATTTAACAATAACTAAAATACCTCTTTTTTATTATTATTTCTGTTTCTACCTAATAACAAATACATTAAATGAAAAGTGTGCTAATATTATTTTTAATTAAGACAATTATAAATGTTAATTTATTTTATTGATAGTAAATAATTTTGTTACAACAATTTATTTAATATTTAAAAACAATAAAGAATTATATAAAATTATATAAACTAAAATATATTAACATTGTTGAGGACGAATCCGAGCACGACACGCGTTGGGTTCAGAAAGCGACAATGCGGCGTGAGACCACATGTGGTTATCGTCGTACGTTGTGCCTGGGCCTAGGGGTTGCAGGTTTGCAGGCTTGCGAATGAAGACACTACCCACAATATGTTGGAGGCGTACACCCTCTATCAGGGCCTCGTATAGCTCGGCATACCTCTGCTTCCGCAACCGTCGTCCTTCCTGGTCAGTCACCCGTGCCTATAAAAGGGAAGAACTCCCTCCAACATTAGGTAAGTGAAAAATCTGTCACTAAAAACCTAAGGTGTTCACCCTTATTTTCATTCCTCCGATTACGAACTTGAGCATCATAATGTATTAGGCAGGACACCGCACCGACGTCGAGTTTTCTAGTTGCAGGCTCATTTGCTGTTGAGTACAAACACTTGTCCGAGGGACAAGTGGACCTCTCAGAAATTTGTCGTTAACAATTGGTATCGTCTATGGGGACGACATTTACAAGCAAAACAAAAACTCGTTCTCCACACTAAGACACTATGAGAATGACTTCTGACAATGTGACGCCCGATTAGAGAGGAGGGGTACATGAATGAACCGATACTACATCCGAATGAGAGGGATCTTGAGATCATAGAAGCATGGTCAAGAAAGGCTTAAAAGAATTGATAGTCACTACTTATACTGACGAGGTGTACCTTCCTTTTCGGTAACTCAATCGTAAGAACTCCAAAGTTAACTGTGCTTGACTTGGGACAATCTTCGGCTGAGCGACCTCCTAGTTGCTAGCTAGGTATCACAATAAAAACATTCTAGATATTAGATGCAAGAAAACTTGATTGCAAAAAATTATACAACACTCGGTCGGGGGAGGTTTGATGACTATTTGGTCCTCTTTATAGTACATTCTAAGGCATTTTTGGTGTGGCAGGAGTAGACATACAAATTGGCAAGGAGCCACTTGATAACTTAGAGGCTACGTGTGAACTCCAATTGGCTTGAAATTTGGCGTGTTTACATATCTTTCTAATACACACCTCGTTCCAAAGCCGTTAAACCAAATTCCTCTGACAATCCCAAAAACCTGATATAGGCAAAATACACCAGAAAACTTTAAAAACATGAAAGTAAAGCAAGTGGTGAGGATGGTTTGAACATGCGGCAATGTGTAACACACCTTGGACAAGCATGCCTATGACACTAGGGACACTGCCAACCCTATCCGCCCCATCGGCCAGCTCGGAAAGCGAAAGGTGGGAAACCCCCACTGAAGGAGCTTGGGGTTCTGGAGCGAGGTGTGGGCAATGAACACCCAATTATCTGCCCAGATCAGAAGGTT